AAAATCAATATTTATCTTTTTCTTGTAAATTAATTTTAAAAAATGCATTAATTATATCATTTAAAAGCACATGTTAAAAAGATTTATATTAATTTATTAGGTGGAGTTGAAGCGCAATTGAGAAAAATAAGGTAAGGTTGAGAGAATTAAACCAATGATAAATCTATCATATAATTAATAAGCAACAAATTAGTAAGAAAAGAATTGTCTATTAAGATGTATACATAAATATAGTGAAGTCATATAATATGAAGCACATTCACATTTACATAGAAGCGAAAGAGGTGTTTGCAATATTATCTTTTGCAAGGAAGTTTTTGAACCAAAATGCAGAGCGTTTGAAATATCTTTTCAAATTGTTTTTGAAGTCTACATAAGTGACACCGAAGCGATCAGTAAAACCATATTCCCACTCAAAGTCATCAAGAAATGACCAAACGTAATATCCTCTCACATCAGCTCCATCCCTGCTATGCATACATACATAAATAAAATAATAATAATAATAATAATTAGAAATAATTAAACCAATTAAAACAACATATATGTATTATCCAGTAGGATATTAAGCTACTGTACTGCTCACTTGATTGCTTTCAAGAGATAGGAGAGATGGAGACTATGGTATTTGATTCTCAAGCTATCGTTGAGGGCCTCCTTAATTGGCAATATTTTATTGTTAAAGTCAGCCATTCCTGGAACAAAATTGTATTAAAAAAAAATCAGTTAATGCACTTGTGATATAGAATAATATTTATTTAATGGCAGACAGAAAGAAATTGTGAATAAGATTCACCATTCTCAGTTATGTAAATAGGAGGATTCATGTATTTTCTCTTAACATAGAGCACCAGTTGTTGAATTCCCTTGGGATATATATAAATCCAGCTAGCCTCCGTCTGCACCACAAAACAAAACAAAACAAAACAGATAAATCAATTTTCTTCTTCAACACAATCCAATTCATGTATTATATGAGTAATTAATTGATAAAACAAGAGACAGAAACAGATGAGAGAGAGAGTACCGGTTCACCAATAGGAACTCCATTTTTGTCAGCTGTGAGAAAAGGTGGAAAATGAAATTAATTAGATGAGCATCAAATCAAATACAAAAGTACGTAGTAATTAAGAAATATATATGCATACTGGTCTCGTTCACATGGCTGTCGGTGGTGTAGCTGAGATTGAGGTCGCCGGTTGGGCAGGATGTGCAATCATCTACATATCTTGCAGAATAGTAATTGATTCCAAGGAAATCAATTGAACCTCTAACCATCCTGGATTCTTCTTCAGTGAATTGGGGCAGTCGATTTCCAACCATGACTCGCATGATTTTGGGGTAATCACCATATGTGATTGGATGAACAATCCACCCAAACGCAAAATCCAGAGCCCTGGAGGCAGCCTCTTGACTGACCACTGTCTCATATTTAGGGACCATCCAGTATGTTTCCACTGTGATACCAATCGTACCATTTTGAGAACCCTACGACAAATATATATATATATATATATAAGTATAAAAGAAGCTTAATTACCAGTATACGTAAAAGATATATAGAAAGAAAGAAAGAAAGATATGAATTGAACCTTGCATTTGTCCCTGTAGAGTTTGACAGCAGTTGCGTGAGAAAGAATCAAGTGGTGAGCCACCAAGTAGGGTTCGGTGGCAGAGTTTCCAGCGGTGCAGTTTCCGATGTAGTCAGAACAGCGACCGGGTGCAGCAGTACCGTCAGCATAGCCGAATTCGGTGAATAGATTTGGCTCGTTCAGGGTAATCCAGTGCTTCACTCGGTCACCGAATTCATTAAAACAGAAGTCCACATAGTCCCCATAATCATTTCTAAAATAAATAAATTATTTTTTTAGGATAGTAATGACATTTTTACTAAAAAAGTTAGAATATTAATGATATTTACTGCTAGTAACTACTTAATTAGTACTAGTGTAAGGATAATAATCATGGGTTAATTGGGTTTTAGAATTACTCCTACGTCGTAATAGTAGTAGTAGTAGTTGATTACATACACAATGCTAGGGCTCAAGAATCCTCCACACTCATCTTCAAGGGTTTGAGGAAGATCCCAGTGGAATAAAGTGACAAAGGGCTGGATACCTGCAGTGCAGCTCAGCTGAATTTTACTTTGTAATTTCACTTAATTGATTGTCAATTTTATTATATTAGACCATTTGATAATTTGTAATTTCAGCAACAAAAGGTTTGATTGTCAATATAAATGATTAATTTATTATCAAATAAAAAAAAAAAGAAAAAGAAAAAAGAGAGTAAAATCACTATATTATTGAACCATTTGATAGAAGCTCGTCGACTAGAGAATTGTAGAAATCCACTCCTTGTTGGTTCACACCCCTGCTAATTTTGCCTCCTGATGATCCACAACATGATCAATCATCAAGATTAAATAATATTTAAATTTAATTATTAATTAGGCGCACCACTGGAGGACTGATCATATATATACATATATATGTATCTATATCCTACACAAATTAAGTATAAATTGATCATTTGGCCATATATATATACACCATACCAGGCAATATTCTAGGCCAGGAG